CAGGAGCCGGTCGAGCGCGTCTCCCTCGCGCAGGACGGGCGAGTGCGGGAAGAAGTCTCGCATCACCTTCTCACAGCGTGAGGCGTCGAGAGCTGCTGCTCACAGCTGCGGGTGCGGCGAGAAGGCTCGCGTCACCGCAGACACCGCGCCCAGCACCTCGGTGGTGTTACGGCCCGACTCGAGCAGCTGCAGCACGCGGCTCGCGCCTGGAGGAGCGCTCAGACTCGGCTCAGACTCGGCTCAGAGACGGCTCAGAGACGCGTCCCAGCCGCGGCACGCGTGCCGCGCCTACTCGAGCCACCGCGAGCCGCGTGACGCGACGCTGCCCGCGCGACAAGTTGGCTGGCGGCGGACGGCCCCCTCGCCGGACCAGCGCGGGTCCGCCTACGGCACATACCTCGGGCGTGTCATGGACACGTGTCCCGGCAGTCTACCGGCAGCGCGGAGGCCCGCTCCTCGGAGAGCGTTGCGATGCCGGAGTAGACGACCGACCGCCCGCTCGAGAGGACCTGCGCGGCCGGGGGTGCGCGGCCGGGGGTGCGGGGCCGGGGGAGGGCGAGAGTGGGGCGGCGGGCCGGATGACAAGTGGGGGCGTCGCTCCGCAGCCGCAAGCGTCTCCTCCGCATCTGCAGCCGTCTCTCTGCAGCAGCCGGGTGTCCGACCGCCGACCCACCCCGACCCCCGACCCTCCCCGACCCGCAGGCGGCCCGTAGCGCAAGCCGCCTGCTCGACGGCCGCAGCCACGTCGTCGTCCGACGCCACCCGCGCCTACAGGGAGCGAGCCCGACGTGTCCGGCGCGAGGGGAGGACGGGCGGGCGGCGAGGCGAGCGTGTGCCCGGGTCCACTCGGACGAGTGTCCGAGCAGGAGGGCGAGGTCGACCAGAGAGTGGAGCAGCAGCACGAGGCTCACGCACGCGACGAGCGAGACCAGGCCGACGAGCGCGAGCGTGACCAGGCTCTCGTCCGAGAGGAGCGCCTAGGCTTCGGGCTCGGGCTCGGGCTCGGGCTCGGGTTTGGAGAGGGGGCCAGGAGCGCCGTGTAGAGAGGAGTCTAGGAAGTGTCTAGGAAGAGTCTTGGAAGTCTTGAAGTGACTAGGAATAGGAGCGCCGTGTACGAGAGGAGTCGCCGGTCGAGCAGCCAGACGGGCACCACCACCACCGCCACGGCGCTGGCGCACGCGGTGCCGACCCATCCCCAGGAGGTGTAGTCCGCGAGCAGCAGCAGCGGCACCACCACGGCGAGCAGCAGCAGCGGAGGGCACGCCCACGCGTGCCGCAAGCTCGCGCCGCCGACGCGACGGAGGAGCGGCGCTTCCGAGGGCGCCCGCAGGGAGCGGACATCGGAGACCATCCGCTCGCGCATGCGCCGCATCGCCTGCGACACGATGAACGCGGCGAGGATGGTCGAGATGTAGTCGCGCCAGAGCTGGAAGGTCAGCCAGCCGAGGAGGAGGAGCGCCGCGCTCGAGAGATTGCCGAGCAGGTGTCCCAGGACCTGGACCTCGAGCTCAGTGGGCGGCTCGAACTCGTCGGCTGCTGACGCCGGCATTCTCGGCTTGGTGTGCCGGTGTGTCCAGTCCGCGCCAGTCCGCGAAAAAAAGAATTTCGCCTCGCAAGACGAGACTCCAGCTTTTGCAAAATCCTGCAAAGGTGGGGACGTGTCTGTCCTCGACCCAGCCCTAGCTTGGGAGGTCCCTTTTATTTATTTGTTGTAGCACTGACACAGGTTCGGCTGGTGCCGCAAGGGGTTTTTGTGCGAAAAAGAATGCTTCCTCGTCTGCGCAGACTAGCACACACGCCGGCACACCCAGTTCTTCGGCAGGAGCAGGTACGTCTATCGGTCACTCGATCGCCATGTATGTAGGAAATCTACGCTGACTGTCCCGCGCGGCCGGGCTTGAGCGCAGAATGAAACAAGTAACCACACTGAAAGGTCAAGCAGACATGGTTCGTGCGGAGTGCAGCCCCTCGCCTGGCATGTGTGCGCGATGTGCGATATTTATTTTCGAATATTTTACTTGTCGATCGACGCAAATCACCATTTTCTTTTTTATATCATTGATTTTTCTTTCTAGGTGTTAGTGCCAATGCGCGCAGTCCGCGGAAAGAAAGAAAGAAAGAAACAGACAACCCGAAAGGACGGCACGCCGCCACCAGGGATTTTAAAAAGAAAGAAAGAAAGAAAGAAAACACACAACCCAAGGGAAGGATGGGAGAACGGCACGCCGCCACCACACAGGGATTTTAAGGAGAGGAATGTGGTGCGCTAGCCGTCGCCCACCCTGGGGAGTCTGCCTCTTCGTATCTCTTTTCGCAGTCTCTCGCCGCTTCTCGCTGCAACCTTCATGCCACCTCGCGGCCGTCCCATACCAGGGATTTTAATCAGAGCAGGTTCGATGACGTCTTTTTTCTTTCCAACATCTGCTCGCGGCCGACTTTTCGGAGGCTGCACGCGACGACCGAGGCGCAACTGCCCGGTGCAAACACCAGCAGGACACAACTGGGATGTCGAACGCGGCCCTTCAGCTCGAGCAGCTCTTCATCTTCCACCCGCGCCTGGGTAGCGAGGCAGGCGAGAAGCTGCTGTACTTTCACCCCGAGCACACGCCTCTCGCCGAGCAGCACAACGCGCTCGGCCTCGTCGTCGCGCTCGAAGGGCTCCTGGCCAACTTTGGAGTGGCGTCGCCTTTCGAGCTGCTGGCCACGGCGCAGCGGCGGTATGTCGTGCTGCAGCCGGAGCCGAGCCTGTGGCTAGTCGCCGTGCACATGCTGCCTCCGAGTGCGCCAGCCGCCACCGCACGGCAGAGAGGTGCGATCGAGGAGGAGGCGGAGGCGGAGGCGGCCGACGCGGACGCCGTTCGGCGCGCCGCCTTGGAGCAGCTTTACGAGACGCTCCGCCTCTGCTGCGGACCGTTTTCGCGCCGCCTGGTGGAGTCTGGCGGCGCCGCCTCAGTGCGGGCCCTCCTCTCTGGCGTGATGCCGCGGCTGCTGGCGGTGGCGGCGCTGCAGCACGAGGCGGAGGGCGACTTCCTGACGGCGGTCGGAGGCATCCAGTACCTCCCCCTCGGCCAGGCTGCCGGGCTGCGCTGCCACGCAGCGATGACCGCCGTCCTATCGGCCCAGCCTGCGGCGGCGCGCTGCTCGCCCGGTACGGGAGGCGTGCACGACGTGTCCCCGACGCTGCCTGGCCATGTCCCGCAGGCGCACCTGCTGCTCACCTTCGAAGGGAGGCTGGTCTGGTCGAGTTTGGGCCGCGAGGCAGCCCGGCCAGCCTTCCGCTAACCCTAACCCTAACCCTGACCCTGACCCTAACCCTAACCCTAGGAGGCCCGGCCAGCCTTCCGCTAACCCTAACCCTAACCCTAACCCCAACCCTAACCCTAACCCTAACCCTGACCCTGACCCTGACCCTAACCCTAACCCTAACCCTAGGAGGCCCGGCCAGCCTTCCGCTAACCCTAACCCTAACCCTAACCCCAACCCTAACCCTAACCCTAACCCAAGCCCTAACCCTGACCCTAACCCTAACCCTAGGAGGCCCGGCCAGCCTTCCGCCTCGTCGCAGCGCTCACCAGCCCGCAGCAGCAGGCCAGTCCCGCCCCCCGTAGCAGCAGGCAGCCCCGCCACCCGTCAGCCCCGCCGCTTCGCCCCCCCCTCCCCCCCCAAACGGGGCGAGCTTCGCCATATTTAACGATGTCAATTGACACAAGGCGGACAACGTGATCGTCGCCGCGCCGCCGCCCAGCACGTCGCCGCCCGAGTGGTGCGGCCGGCCCCGACTCCCTCCCCTCTCCCTGCCCGCCGCCCGCACCGACACATGCGTTCAAAGCGCACACGCGCCCCATGGAGACCTCTGCCGCGCCCGACCTGCCGAGTTGTTTACGCCGCGCCCTCCGCAGCTGCCTCGCGCTCGAGCTCGTGCTAACCCTAACACAGACCCTAACTCTAACCCCAACCCCAACCCCAACCCGCCGCAGCTGCCTCGCGCTCGAGCTCGTGCTGCGCGCGCACCGCGCAAAGCACGCCGCGGACGCCTCGGCGACGCCCGCCGCCGGCTTCCTCGTCGGCGCCGGCGCCGCGGGCTGCGGCGACGGAGCCGACGGGCCGACTCTCCCTCGGCTTTTTGTGCGGAAACGCGCCCCTCTCTCGCCCGGGCAAGCAGACCCGGCCGCCAGCTGCGTGTCGGCGGCAAGCTCGCCGCCCGAGGCTGCTGCCGCCGGCGAGGGTCTGGCCGCCGGCGAGGCTTCGGGCGAGGGGCGGCACGAGCGAGGCGGCGACGGGTGGGAGGAGGACGGGTGGGAGGGGCTGCGGCTGGCCGTCCTCTGCTCGCACGGCGTCGGCATCGCCCTGCTGCTCGAGGACGGGTCGCGAGAGTGGGCGGACCGGCGGTGGCACGCGACGCTCCGCGCCTCGCTGAGCTCTGAGCTCGAGGGGCTCGGCGCGGTCTTCGCGGAGCAGGCGCGGCGCGCCGGCGCGGAGGAGCAGTCTCGCCGCTACGTCTCCTTCGACTCCTTCAGCCTCGCGCTCCAGCTGTCTCTCCCGCGGCCGGGCCGGCGCGCGAGCCGGCTCGGCTTGCCCGCGAGCCTCGAGCGGCTGCTGCTGCGGTCCTGGAGCGACCTCGAGGCGGGCGAGGCGCGGCAGGTGGCGGCGCGTGCCGCCGAGGGCTGGCTGCTCGCGCGCGCGTCGGGGAGCCGGCGCCTGTTTGCCCTGGTCGAGTCGAAACACGCTTCGCTCGCGGAGGCGCACCAGGAGGCTCTCGCGCTCACCGCGTCGCACCTTTCGCACATCTTCATCGACGGGTAGCGGGGGTGGACCGACGTAGTTTGCGCTAGAAGGCAACCCAAGTCAGTGCTCCATGTGTACAAGAAAGAAAGAAAGAAAACAGACAACCCAAGGGAGGGATGGGAGGACGGCACGCCGCCACCACACAGGGATTTTAAGGAGAGGTGTGTGGTGCGCTAGCCGTCGCCCACCCTAGGGAGTCTGCCTCTTCCTATCTCTCTTCGCAGTCTCTCGCCGCTTCTCGCTGCAACCTTCATGCCACCTCGCGGTCGTCCCACTCTCGTCGTTCTCTCCCTTGTCATTTCCTCCTCTGTCGCGTCGTTCTCTCTTCTGCCTCGTCCTGTGACGCCACCGCCTGCCGGTCCCTTGTTCTCGCGGCTTCTTTCGCCTTTCGGCGCAACTCCGTCCTCCTCGCGGCGTATCCTGGCCCCTCGAGTCTATCGAGCTCCCCTCGCGCAAGGACCACATTTCTGACTCCCACTCCGATCATTTGCCTACAGGTCATGTTGTTGCTCAGGTCCACTCTCTCTTCGAACACTCGTGCCTCTACGGATGATGCCGGCGCTGGGGTCCCCTTCGGATGCATCGTGACATCTGACAACTGGATTTCCACTGGTTCGTCCTCCTCTGGGTCATCTTCCCCGTCCTCCTTCCGCTCGGCTCTTCGCTCGGTACGTTCGGTGTGGCTCACCCTCCATGCCGTGAACAGGCGCTTTATCCACCCTATATTCTTCTCTCGCTCCTCTGCCCGTGCCTTGCGCCCTTGGTCTTGTCGTTGTTTCGCACCCATGTCTGTATGGCGATCGAAGCTGCCTTCCCCACTACCTGCAGTTCCCTCGTCACCTCTCCTGCGAGCTCCCTTCTCTTTCTTTCGGGTATGGAGTCCGTGAGTGCGGGTAGCGTGCAGGCAATCACGGGCGCTATTTTGTCGTACTCCTCTTCGACGAGCGCTCCAAATCTAGACCCTTTCGCCTTTAAGGAGGCTGCCCTCGCTCGTCTCAGGAATGTGGCGGTGTCTTTTGAGTCCGGCGCCTCCCGTTCAACTCTTGCTGTCGCCCTCGCTGTGTGTTTGTCGAGCTTCCGCATGAAAGTGACGCGCCTCTCCCTTATTTCCAGCGCAGCTGCCGCTCAGTATGTGCGCCAACGACGCCTGTGGTGGCTCACTGTCTTCTTGTTTCCAGTCGTCCCAGTCTCTCAGATTCCCGCGTCTCCTCCTTGCCTCGCGCGCCTCTTTTGTGGCCTCATCCCTAGCCGCTTTGCACGCTCTGCATCCCCAGAACGCACTTCTCGTGGCGGGGCCCCTCATTCCCCGTTTCTTTTCCCCCTCTAGAATACGCCTGTGGTGTGCCCCGTGTGGCACCCCGACCTGTTGTCTCACCCATGTGTACAAAGAAAGAAAGAAAACACACAACCCAAGGGAGGGATGGGAGAACGGCACGCCGCCACCACACAGGGATTCACCCATGTGTACAAGGTTAGGTTCACCCTGCACGTTTTTCTTTTCGCAGATCGGCTTCATTTCCAAAATGCTTCTTGCGGGATCCTCAGCACTGTCGCTCTCGTACGTCGCTCCCGCGGCGCCGGCGGCGGCTGTCCGCGGCGGTGCCGTGCGCATGGAGTCGCTCTCGGACCTCAAGACCCTCGCGACCGGCCTCAACCCCGTCGGCGCGCGGCGGCGTCGCGCGAGCCTCCTCCTGTCCCCGACCCCACCACCTCCAATCCCCTCCTCGCAGTCGGCTACTGGGATCCGCTGAAGCTGGGCGAGGCGGAGTTTTGGGACAACACCAACGAGGAGACCATCGGCTGGCTGCGGCACGCCGAGATCAAGCATGGCCGCGTCGCGATGGCGGGGTTCGTCGGCTTCATCGTCCAGGCCAACGGGATCAAGTTCCCGTGGGCCCCGTTCAACGCCATCACGTCGACCAGCCCGCCCGAGCAGTGGGACCAGCTCCCAGACGCGCGCGAGCCCGCCCGGCCGCCGCCGCCGCCGCTTCCTCTTCTCACGCCGCGCCGCCCCTCTCACCCGCAGGCCGCAAAGTGGCAAATCATCCTCGGGGTTGGCTTCCTGGAGTGGTGGTCGGAGATCCGGGTGGACGGCACGCCGCACTACATGAAGGGCGGCAAGCCCGGCTACGTGCCCGACTTCGACGCGACGCCCGACCAGCTGCCTCACTGGGCGAGGGGGCGCAGCCTCGCGCCGCCGGCCGGGCGGCGCAGCTCGAGAGTGCGGGGCTGTGACTAGGTTGGCCTCAACCTGTACGACCCCCTCAAGTGGAGCAAGGGCGCGTCCGCGGAGAAGAAGCAGAAGGGCCTCCTCACCGAGCTCAACAACGGCCGCCTCGCGATGCTGGGCATCATGGGCTTCGTCTCGGAGGCCAAGGCGCGCGCCGGGAGGGGGGGGGGTTGGGGCCCAGGGCCCGGGAGCGAGGCGCGAGCTTGCTCTTGCTCTAGGTGCCTGGCTCGGTGCCTCTCCTCAAGGGGCTGGTTGCGCCCTACACCGGCGAGGTGATGGCGCCGTTTGCGACGGACATCGACTGGTCCTCGTGGGCGTACATCCCCGGCGCGTAGTCGTAGCGGGGGCTGCTGTGAGGCGTTGTGTGGGTTGCCGCCGGGGGAGGCCGGTCTCTCCGTGTCGCGGCACGCGCAGAGTTGGACCAGGCGAGGCGCGAGGCGCGCTAGCCGTGCGGAGGGTTTGTTGGTACACGAGCGGTGCATCTCTCGGTCTCGCCGCATCTCTCTTTGTTGCAGCAGAGCACCCACTACTACTTTACGTGGTTAGAGCAATGAAGGAAATCGAACCCCGAAGTGCGAAGACCCCCCTACACGTGCACACGCGCGTCGCGGGGGGGGCGTCGCGGCCTCTTACGGGTCGCGGGACGCGGCGGAAAAGCGGAGGCCGCGCGCGCGGCGCTGGGTTGTTGCACGATGTCTCAAATATGAGGGGTTTTGACTCCTACCGGCTCCTGACGCTATCCCTGGCAGCTCTAATGACCAGGATCAGTAGTGCTATGATAGAGGATGCCCATACTAGCGCAGGAGCTGCCACACTCGCCCGGACCGTCCCCTTCTGGGTCCGGTTCCGCAGCCCGCGAGAGCCGATAGCGGGGCCGTGCCGCGGGTGCCTACTGCCGAGTGCCACAAACACTGCGCCGTCCCGCCATCACCTACAGGCTGTCTTGTGTGATGGTTGGGATGTCCAAACGCCACCATCTTGGCTCTTGCGACCTCAAACCCGCGAGCTGCATGGGTGGTCCTGACGTCGACAGACGCCCGATGACCACGGTGAAGCTGAGCCGGAACGCGTCGACAGGTCTCGTCTGAGCCCGTGGCGGTAGCCGGCTGAGTCGCTGTGCACGGGCCGGTACCTCAGGCGTCACCTCCGCAGCCTCAGGTCTCACACTCCATCACCTCCGCCGGGACGCCTTCGATGGCACGCTCGGCGGCGAGTTTGTTGCAGCTCCACAGCGAGCGCGGCGTCGAGCCTACTCACTCCTGTTGGATACACGCACTCCCTGGGACCCAGGGAGTGCGTGTATCTAGCAAGCGGTGCGTCCCGGCAGCCCGCGCTGGCTGCGGAGCTGCAACAAACTCGAGACGCTTTTTTCATTTTTGGGACATTTTCGACGCTTTTGGCCCATATACTCGTGCAACAACCCCGCTGAGTTGCAGCTGGCCGGCGCTCTCACACGCACTTACAGACTACAGTATAGGCCTCGATTCGTGCACACACACAGATCACAGTCACAAATGTACAGGACGCCTCTCTCCGGCCACCCGAGCGTCACTCCAGCGAGACGACGCTTCGAGCCTGCCACTCCTCTGCGACGCCGCCCCTCCACGCTAGCCGAAAGGCAAAGCTCGCGTTGCCGCTCGCCTCCACGACCTCGCTCGATGCGGAGTTGCCGATGCAGAGGCCTGCGGGGGTGGGGCATGCGTGAGTGCGCTGGCCGGGGCCGGCGAGCTGGAGCGGCGATCGCGCCAAAGCCGAGGACGAGGAGGATCTCGAGCGTGCCGAGAGCGTGGCTCGGAAGGAGTCCATGTCTGCCGCAGCATTCGCCCAGCAGGTTGCAGGCCTGCGCCGCGCCGGTCAGAAAGAGCCCGGTGCCGAGCGCCATGGCGCCGCGCGTGCCGGCGCCCGACATCGCTGCTATCACCCACACGAGCAGGGTGCCGCTGCCAAACGCCAACGCGGCCACGATTCTATGCGCGATCGCGTAATGCGACTCACGCACCGCGCACGTGAGCACGATTCCAATCCCGGTGGCCACCGCAAGAGCGAGGCGGCACCAAAGCATCGGAAGTTCTCTTGTCAGCTCGAGCAGAACGAGCAGCCACAGCGACAGCACGCCAATAAAACCGCACAGCCTCGAGCGTCGGCTGTCGTCGAGCACGGCGGATATGTGCTTAAAGTGCGCAAGGTCGCCGCATCGCCCAGCGTGCCCGTAGGCGGCGGCGAGGAATGAGGCTTGTGTGCAGAGCACGAGAAACGTCAGGACGTGCTCCATCGCCGCTGAAAGCGGCTCGCCGTGATGACACTGTGATGAAATGCAGTGTTTCAAGAAGAAGAAACCAAAAATTCCCACGATTGCGAATGTGGGGACTACATTTACATGAAGGGTGGAGGGGCCCGTCTGCAGAGCTAGGCGGCGCGGGCACCCCCCACTGGGGCCGAGGACAAGAAAGAAGCCGTTTCCCGTTTGTCGCTTGCTTGTTCTTTTGTTTGTTGATCCAGTCAGTACGCTCTTTGCGAGAGAGAGATTTTTGAAGACCAACAAGAAATCACGACTCTCACAGTGATTTGGGCTCGGCAGCTTGTTAGCCCTCAGCCGAAGCTGGGGCCGGTCCCGTAGCCGTAGCCGAGAGAGCCCGCGCCGATGAGTTCGACGCGGTCGGGGGGCCTTGCGGTCTTGCGGAGAGGCCAGCGGGGTGGCGATCGCTGTACTTCATGGGGGTCATCAAGTGACCGCGACTGACAAGCCAGAAGGTCGATACTCTGGACGACCCATAGATGCCACGAATGCCTGAAGGAGAGGGAGGCGAGGCCAGAGGCAGGCTCAGCTCCTCTCGGGTGATCTCGCTTTGGTGGCCGAAGGACCCGATGGTCCTGTCACATTCGCGTTCCGAGTCGTGGGGGTAGAAGATTGCGGGGGGGCATCGAGTCAGCACTTCCTTGTAGTACAGCGGACCGCCAGGCTCGCCGGCAGCATCCGCAGGGAGGCAGCATATGAGGCACCAGTCTTCTGAAGAGCTCAACAGCTGCGGCCGCGATGGCGGAGTCGGCCGCGGTTCGAGCGAGCAGCTTTTGGCTGCGGCATCGACGATCGCGGAAGGCTCATGCCCTCGTGGAGCGACGGCCGACGCGGGTCGCGCGGCGCGCGCGTGTGCGAAATGCGACAACAGACGACAGACGCCTGAGCGCTGAGCGCTGTACGACTGAACTTTTGTCGCCGCAATCGCCACCGCCGCCATCTTGACGAGCAGCGCGAGCGCGCTCGTCGGCGGCCAGCCGTCGGCGTCGCGGGCCGGGCCGAGCCCGGCCTCAACCGGCCGCGCCGCCGCAGCAGGCCCGGAGGCCCACATTGCGGCCGACCTGATAAGGAGCTCTCTTCTTCCTTGCGCGCCTGCTTGTTGATGTTTTCGGCGTCGCCCGCCACCGCCGCCTTGGAGATCTGCTGCGTGTGGTGGACGACGAAGGAGGAGGCGCTCGCCGACGCCGCCCCGCACACCGTGCGGTCTGTGTTGGTAAAGAGGAAAGAAAACGGAGACTTGGAGCACTGGAAACGGGTTTCTTATTCTACCTTGTGAGTGTATATATGGCGTGCTGCGCGCCGGCAGCGGCGGCGCCATCGGCGGCGGCACCACCTCCCGCGGCGGCACCTCCTCCCGCGGCGGCACCTCCTCCCGCGGCGGCACCTCCTCCAGCGGCGGCACCTCCTCCAGCGGCGGCACCTCCTCCAGCAGCGCCGCCGCCCGCAGCGCCGCCGCCCGCAGCGCCGCCGCCCGCAGCGCCGCCGCCCGCAGCGCCAGTGCCCCCGCCGCCGGCGGCAGCGGGCGCGGCGGCAGCGACGGCCCCCGCCCCAGCCGCAGTGGACCCGGCGGCGGCGGGCGCTCGGCAGGCCGCTGGCGCGGCGGTCGCGCCGCTCGCGTCGATGCAGGCGGCCAACCTGCAGGCGGCGAGTATGCAGGCGGCCGCCATCCAGGCGGCTCACTTGCAGGCCGCCGTGATGGGGCCTGCGGCGGCCGCGCCCACCGCGGTTCCACCCGCCGGGCGCAGCGCGGCCGTGCCCTTTTTGGCGCACGATGCGCCGCGGCCCGCGCCTCCCCCGTCGCCCAGAGCCGCACGCGTGTCTTTGTTTCGGCGCGTAGGTTGGCGCGGTGACCACCCGGCTGACTGTGACTGTCCCCAGCGGCATCTCGGGCGGCGCGCCTCTCCCTGCCCTCACCCTGCGATGCGCCTCTCCCTGCGATGCGCCTCACCCTGCGATGCGCCTCTCCCTGCCCTCTCCCTGCGATTGCGCCTCTCCCGGCGATGCGCCTTCCCTGCGCGGGCCCGCCCGCCACGCCGCCGCCGGCCCGACCCCCCCCCCATTCTCCCCGCTCAGGCGAGCTTGTGCGCGTCGCCGCCCCCGACGGTGAGCCCACTCCTCTCCCTCACTCTCCCGTCCCGCACGTTCTCTTCACCTCCCCGGCTGAACTATTAACTATTAATTCCCGTCACCCTCAACCTTTATCCAGGATTATGACTTTTTTTTTTAAGAGTTTTTCTTTGAAACCAGTTTGCCCCCTCGGTCCCTTCTTTTTTCTCCCAGGTTAGGAGAGGGGGAATTTACTCCTTCCTTTCCCAA